CGGCAACCTGCGGCTCCGCGGCTGCATGCCGGCTCTTCCAGGGACTGCTTCGTGGCGTTGCTTATCGAGGACCACCACCGTCTCGTATTCGTCACGTGCACATTGCGGTGGCTCTTCAAATACTGAGTTGTTTTTACCGAATTCGAAAAATAAATGCCTCTTCCTGATATATTTTGGGTTGCCGACACCTGTGACTATGCTAATGGAGGCTAGGCAGGGCTACGGGACGAGGCTATAGGACTCGGCTAATGGGGGCTAGGCAGGGCTACGGGATGAGGCTATAGGACTCGGCTAATGGGGGCTAGGCAGGGCTACGGGACTAGGCTACAGGACTCGGCTAATGGGGGCTAGGCAGGGCTACGGGACGAGGCTATTGGACTTGGCGAGGCAGGGCTATAGGCCTGAGCTACAGGACTATGCTATAGGCCGAGGCAGAGGTATTGGACTTTGCTGGGCTACTGGGCGAAGGGGTAATGCTACAAATATGGCTGGGCACTAGGCCCAAGGCAGGGCTGTGGACCTCACCGCTCTGCTCGCCCAGGAACACGAGCTTGAACTTCCTCAAGGGATTCCCGAAGTCACTGCCGCCTGCCATGGCACCTGGGGACAGAGACACGGTCACTCACAAGGCTGCCCCACACACTCACAGAGCTGCACAACACACCCACACAGCTGCACCACACACTCACACAGCTGCACCATATATTCACACAGCTGCAGCACACACTCACAGAGCTGCACCACACACCCACACAGCTGCACCACACACTCACACAGCTGCACCACACATTCACACAGCTGCACCACACTCACACAGCTGCACCACACACCCACAGAGCTGCACCACACACAGCTGCACCACACACTCACACAGCTGCACCACACACTCTCACTGCTGCACCACACACCCACAAAGCTGCACCACACACTCACACAGCTGCACCACACACCCACAGAGCTGCACCACACACCCACAAAGCTGAACCACACAGCTGCACCACACACTCACACAGCTGCACCACACACTCACACAGCTGCACCACACACTCACACAGCTGCACCACACACCCACAGAGCTGCACCACACACTCACACAGCTGCACCACACACCCACAAAGCTGCACCACACAGCTGCACCACACACTCACACAGCTGCACCACACACTCACACAGCTGCACCACACACCCACACAGCTGCACCACACACTCACAAAGCTGCACCACATAGCTGCACCACACACTCACACAGCTGCACCACACACTCACACAGCTGCACCACACACCCACACAGCTGCACCACACACTCACACAGCTGCACCACACACTCACACAGCTGCCCAACACACTCACACAGCTGCACCACACACTTACAGAGCTGCACCACACACTCACAGAGCTGCACCACACACCCACAGAGCTGCACCACACACTCACACAGCTGCACCACACACCCACACAGCTGAACCACACACTCACACAGCTGCCCAACACACTCACACAGCTGCACCACACACTCACACAGCTGCACCACACACTCACAATAAAGCTCTATTAACCACTATAGACATATATTGATCACGAGAGCTGTATTAACCACTAAGGTTGTACTATATACAAGTAGTGCTCTATAAGGTGGCTACTGATCACTATATGTATTGATCACTATATGTATTGATCACTATAGAGCTATATTGATGAGTAGGTTCTACTCTGTACACCAGTGTACGTGTACGCTACACTCACGTGTCTATCGTAATGATATTGATCCCGAGATCTCTACCGATCACTCTAGACCTCTATCGATCACTATAGACCTGTATCGATCACTCGAGATCTCTACAAATCGAGTTGGACTCGACACGAAGACGCTCCTATCAATCACTCCAGTAGATGTATATCGACCATTCTAGACCACTACTGGTCACCCTATATCAATATCGATCACTCTAGATAGTTACTGATCACTCTAAACCTCTATCGATCACTATATATTCCTGGTCACTCTAAATCTCTGATGATCACTCTAGATCTCTATCGATCACTTTAGATCTCTATCGATCACTCTATATCTTTATCGATCACTCTTGAGCTCGATCGATCACTCTGGACGCCTATCGATCACTCTGGACGCCTATCGATCACTCTAGATCTCTATAGAACATTCTAGATCCCTGCTGATCACTCCGTACGCCTATCGATCATTCGAGATCTCTGCCGATCACTCGAGATCACTGCTGATCACTCTGGACGCCCATCGATCACTCGAGATAGCTGCTGATCACTCGAGATCACTGCTGATCACTCCGTACGCCTATCGATCACTCTAGATCCCTGCTGATCACTCGAGATCACTGCTGATCACTCTGGACGCCCATCAATCACTCGAGATCCCTGCTCATCACTGCGGGTGCCTGTCGATCACTCTCGATCAACATTGATCACTATCGATCACTCCCGATCGCTCCCGATCACCTCGGGGGAGTTGGCCTTGAGTCTCGATGGAGCTGCCGCTGCGCCGCCACGTCCAGCCGCACACTGCGCATGCGCGCCCGCCCCGCCGCGTGACGTCACCGCGCAGCCGCGCCGAGACATTGCGTCATCACTGTCCGCGCGAGTTTGCCCGCCGCCACGCGCCGCATAGATGACGTCACCGCATGTTTACCGCCCCTCCCCCCCCCCCGCGTGTGCCGATGGGCACGTCAGAATGTGAATGTTTATTGAGACCGCAGGAAGAATCCGGTGAGGGGCCGTCCATAAATGACGTCACGCACCTGTGGGTGGGGGGGGGGTCAGACATTTGTGACGATGTGTGACGTGGGGGGGGTTTGAGAAATGTGACGTCACATCAAAATTGCGCAACTTTAAATAAATATAAACACCACGTTCTACTTAATTAAATAAACTTTTAATGTTTTCTCCGACAACATCAGAGTACAACGCCACATTAAATACGCACTACAATGACAATAGTTTAAAGCGATTTGAAGCATGTTTCATTTTCAAAATGTAAATGTTTTTTTTTATGGGGGGGGGGGGCAGAGCTTTGTGACGTCATACTTGAGGGGGGGGGTCTGACTTTTTGTGACGCCGTGTGACGAGCGGGGTGGGGGGTCAAAAACTGTCCAAAATCGCGTGACGTCATTTATGGACGGCCCCTTTGTGGCTAATCGGATTCCTCCTCCAGTATAAACACATATTCTGATTGTGAATGGTGTTGCTCTGCATCGACATTCACACATCGAACTTATATAACTCACGTGGTTATACTGGTAGGAACGAAGTGGACCAGACACCAATAGATTATATCGTCCGTCCGTTTGTCCGTCCGTCCGTGTAGCAACATCGCCCCCTACTGCAAACACTTGGCAGGACCCTACAAAAACCTTTTGACTCAGTGGGGCTTTCCTGGCTTAACAAGTGTAATAATACATTATGTTTATATTCTTTGGTTATTCGTTCCTACCAGCCCACCCAACAGGGTCCTGTTTATGAACGTAAAATTCGTGGCTTGCTTTCCATTCCCTCTATGCTGCACTGCTATCGCGTCTTTGTAGCGTCTCTTGTTGACCCCGTGCCCCCACTGGACATCTGTGTGAAAGAGCTTCACAGCTCATGGGATTCCTCCTCCTGCAGTCTCAATCAAGATGATCCTGAGTCTGACATCAGCCGGAGGAGAGAAGAACGCCGCTGACTCGAGAGGGGACATCCACAGGAGCTGCCGGTCGCGACGCCATACACAGGAGCTGCCGGTCGTGACGTCATACACAGTGGCTGCCGGTCGTGACGTCATCCACAGGAACTGCCAGTCGTGACGTCATCCACAGGAGCTGCCGGTCGTGACGTCATACACAGTAGCTGCCGGTCGCGACGTCATCCACAGTGCCTGTCAGTCGTGACGCCATTCACAGTAACTGCCGGTCGTGACACCTTACACAGGACCTGCCAGTCGTGACGTCATCCACAGTGCCTGTTAGTCGTGACGTCTTCTACAGTACCTGCCAGTCATGACGTCATCCACAGGAACTGCTAGTCGTGACGCAATCCACAGTACCTGCCAGTTGTGACGTCATCCACAGTGCCTACTAGTCGTGACGTCATCCACAGTGCCTGCCATGTGTGACGTCATCCACAGTGCCTACCAGTCGTGACGTCACCCACAGTGCCTGCCAGTCGCGACGTCATCCACAATGTGTGCTGGTCGTGACGTCATCCACATTACCTGCCAGTCGCGACGTCATCCACAATGTGTTGGTCGTGACGTCATCTACATTATCTGCCAGTCGTGACGTCATCCACATTGCTGCCAGTCGTGACGTTTGCACAGGAACTGCCAGTCGTGACGCAATCCACAGCACCTGCCAGTCGTGACGTCATCCACAGTGCCTCCCAGTCGTGACGTCAATCCAAAGAGCGTTTCAGACATGACGTTTTAGCCAAAAGCGGCTTCGAATCGTGACGTCACATCCAAAGTTCCAATCAGACGTGACGTCATATTCAGTGCCGATCGGCCGCGACGTCATCTAGAGTGCCAATCAGTCGTGACGTCATATCAAATTAAAGTTGCTATCAGTCGTGACGTCATCACGGCTGTTTATCTTTCGCGTGGGCGGCATCGGGTAGAGGCTGCGAGGGCGTGGCCCGTGTCTCCGTCTCCCTCCCGTGTCTCCGTGTGTCTCCGTCTCCCTGTCTGTCTCTGTGTTGCACTGCTGTCCCCGTGAGTTGGTCTCCTCACGATCTGTCTCCGTGCCCCACGTGCGTACAACACTTGCCTCCCCGTGTCTCTGTGTGTGTGTCCTCCGTGTCTCCCCCCCCCCGTGTCTCTGTGTGTGTGTCCTCCGTGTCCCCCCCCCCCCCCCCCCCCGTGTCTCTGTGTGTCCTCCGTGTCCCCCCCCCCCCCCGTGTCTCTGTGTGTGTCCTCCGTGTCTCCCCCCCCCCCCCCCCCCCCCTGTGTGTCTCCCTCCACCCCCCGTGTCTCCCCTCGTGTCCCCCCGTGTGTCTCCACCACCACCCCCCCCGTATCTCCCCCAGCATCTCCCCCCCGCCGCGTCTCCCCACGGCGCCATGGTGCACGCGAAGCCCTACAAGGGGCAGGACTACGCGCGTCTGCGGCGCGCGTGCGCCTCCCGCGGGGACCTCTTCCGAGACGAGCTCTTCCCCGCCGGGGAGACGGCGCTGTCGCCCGCGGGGAGCGCCGGCGGGCGGGCGCCCTCGGGGCGCGTTCAGTGGAAGCGCCCAAAGGTGAACCCCCTCACCACCCCTCACCACCCCTGCTGAACCTTCACCATCCCTCACCACCCCTTTACCATCCCTCACCACCCCTCACCATCCCTCACCACCCCTGCTGAACCTTCACCATCCCTCACCACCCCTCACCACCCCTGCTACTAAACCCCTCACCACCCCTCACCACCCCTCACCATCCCTGCTACTAAACCCCTCACCACCCCTCACCACCCCTCACCACCCCTCACCATCCCTGCTAAACCATCACCATCCCTGCTAAACCCTCACCCCCTGCTAAGCTTTGGTGAAGCAAAAGCCTTAAGAGAGCGTAGATTTAAAAAAGAAATTCAAATTATGGCAGCTGATAAAGGCCACTAATGTAATGACGTCCCGATCATATTATGATAATAAAATGTAAGATTTACTGGAGGAAGATACCAATATTAAAATTAAACGAGATCCAAGCAATACTTTTGAACGCAAGACTTCTGCAATCATTGCGAATTCATTAATCCCCAAGACTGAGCAATACCAAATTAAGCCACATGCCTCAAAACTACCAAGAGTGTATTGGCTACAAAAAATTCATAAAATCGGTATCCCATGTAAGTACAATAGGCTCTGCCACATATAAATTAGCTAAATATGTAAGTAAACAAATACAACCCTACATCGGAAGGACAGCTTCATTCATAAGAAATTCAGAACATCTTGTGTGAATGTGATTAAGGATATTAAACGTAAACCCTAATGATATTCTGGTAAGTTTTGATGTCATTTATCTGTTCACTAAGGTTCCAGTTGACGAGTCACTTCAATTACTTGATACACTGGTAAAGAAGCCAGGTTTACCAGAAGACATTCCAAAACTAGCCGACCATTGTCTAAATGACACTGATTTCTTGTGGAGAGGTGACTTCTTTAAATCCGTACATGGAAAACTTTGAAACAAGAGCACTTGCCTGAAGTATATTCAAAACATCTTTTTGGTTTAGATATGTCGATGACACTTTGGTTGTCTGGCCACATGGTAAAGATGCACTTATTGCATTTTTAACTAATCTTGAATGCGCAAAACCCAGCCATTCAGTTCACCATAGAAATGTAGGTGAACAACACACTCCCATATTCTTGGTTCTTTCGGTAAAGTCACGTAGAAGGGAAATAATATAATAATCATGTTGTATTTAAGTTTTATTATTTTATTATTTCCCTTCTACATGACTTTACCGAATGAACCAAGAATATGAATCCAGGCATTTACGAAAGCTTTAAATCGAAACACACTCCCATTCCTGGATATTTTGCTTGGACGCGGTCAAAATGGCAAAATAACACACAGCGTCTACCGAAAGGGAACGCACACGGATGCCTATCTGAATGCAGATTTGCATTATCACCCAGCACAGAAATCCTCTATCATCTAAACGCTCATACATTGGGCAAAGACAGTGTCAGATGGTGAAAGTTTAGGGATAGATATTAAACATGTTAAAAAAGCACTAAGACTGAATGGCTATAATAATGCTCAAATTAACAGAGCATTGAATGCCAAATCAAGATCGAACAACAATACTACTGAAAGTGATCAGATTATCAAAACAATTCAAATACCATATATCTTGGGAGTTAGTGACAAATTAGCCCGTGTTTTGCCAAAGCAAAACATTAGTGAGATTTGGTACGGTACACAAAATTCAACAACTAGTGTCTTGTACTAAAGATGAATGACTGAATTTATCAACAGAAGGTGTATATCGGATGAATTGCTTATGCGGTAAGTGTTATATTGGACAGACTGGGCGTAACATTAGCGTAAGACTAAAAGAACACCAATGGAACATTAAATTCTCCCAAACACAGCTGTCAGTAGTGGCAGAGCATGCTTGCCAACAAGGGAATTCAATTGATTTTGATACCGTTGAAGTGTTATGCAGAACTAATTATTCCTGGCCAAGATTAGAGAATCATTTGAAATTGAGAAGAACACTATGGGGACCTCATTTGCCAGTAAAAATATGATAATTGGTTCTTTACCCTTCTATCTGGCAACAAAACTGACGCAAAAAAAGGTGTCAGTTTTGTTGCCAGATAGAAGGGTAAAGAACCAATTATCAATTGAGAAGAATTCAAATAATTTTCATCGCTGTGATAGCTATAGACTCAGCGCAGCCTGGAAGCATATTAATTTATTTCTACCTCCGTGACTTTACCGAAAGAACCAAAGAGTATGGATTCCTGCAGTCACGAAAGCTTCAAATAAAGATGGAAGCGTATTATTAAGTAATACACAACACATATTGCAATTCCTTACTGGTGAGTCACATGCTAAGTGGCTGATTACTGATCTATTACATAATTGTATACAACCCCACCTCCGCCTCTGATCTCGAATCCTGATTCGGTTCATCAATGATGACGTCATCCTGCACTCTTTAAGACTGGAAGCAGGTGGATGGCTTCACTATTCTGGCAAATCGCCCGAAGATGCTGGATGTAGTTTTCAGCGTAACGTCGTACTACTCAGATTGTAAATGTTGTAGATCCACTCTTCAAGACACCGGTGGGCTAAAGTAGTGAACTATTTGTCTTTTGTCAATGTGACACATTTTTTACTCATTGGCCGTGTTGGGTGGAGGCGGGTTGCGACACGTTTATAAATAACGCGATCTATCCCATAAAGATTTATTATGAAACCCTCACCCCTTGCTAACCCTTACTATGCTGCAAAACCATCCCCCCATACTAAACCCTCACCCCCTGCTAAACCATGACCCCCATGAGAATAGGGTTTGCCCTTTTTTCTGGCAACAAAACAGGTGTTGCGATGTTAAAACACCAAACTGAAACCTTTTACAAGGAATCATGTCTGCATTAACCACACTACTTGTGGTCAGAATGCAAAAAAAACATACTCTGATAATAAATGCATTGTCTATGAGACTGATTGGTCCACACTAGCGACAGCTTTCATTTGAGCCTCATCTCAAACGGTGTTAGACCAGAGGACACCAAAAGGCGTACAGCACAAAGACAAGCAATATCAGAGTACTGAGAACTCGGGGTGAGCGGCTACATCATGGGACCTCCTTTGCCAGTACCAAAATATCAGAATAGGCAAAAACGGACACCGCGCGGGACCTTAAAATGAAAACAATAACAAACAGAGGTGACGTTTCGGCCAATGGCCATACTCAACAGCATATTGGTCAGAGAGAGAGTGGACTTTTTTGGTTGCTGTTGTAAGGCACTGCGAATGCAGATCATTGCAGAAATTTTTTTTTTACCGCAGTTCACTCCGGTTACGCCATGCTGGCCGTATGCGCTCTACTCAGCCCAGGGCTCGCTAACCTGTGGCTCTGGAGCCGCGTGGGACGGCCCTTTAAAGATTGCTTGGTGACTTGATTAAGGACCACCGTCTTATATTCACAGCAGAGTCCATTGCCGGTCGTTCTGGTCCCATTGAATTTTTATATTACCGAATTTGAATAAAGATGGCACTTGTTATTTTGGTTCGCCGACCCCTGTGCTAGATGTTCATAGGCAGGACGTCCTCTTTCCGTATTGGACGTGGGTCTTGGTTCGACGCCCAACTCTAGAATGAGCACGGAATCGTCACGAGCGTCGCTGTGGAGAAACGTGAACAGAAGAAACTTCTTCCAGCGGTGCCGCTACCCCGATGAGACAATCATGCGATTCGTGATTGTAATTCTGTCTCGGCAAAAGTAACGCCACGTGATTATCGATGGATTATATCGCTTCTATTATAAATGCCTGGTGTTATGAGAGCCGATCAGAAGGCCTGAATCAAAAAGTTAGAGAAAATGGAACCCCCTCCCCCAAAGATGTGGGGGTTTCCGCCGCACGCACTGCGCACACCCTTTCAACAAATTAGCGACATCCTTAGCCATAGCGGACAAGAAGAAGTCCAGCTTAAGTGTGGCCAACGTCTTATGCACACCCAGGTGCAACAGGCGCTCGTGTACCGCCCAAATGACCTTACCCCGCAGGGCAGTGGGAACCACAATGTTATAACGGCGCAACCCTCCGTCCCAATGCACGAGCAATCCGCCTCTGAGGATGACAGAGACGACACCCCGTCGATCCCCGCCCCCATCAGCCTCCCTGACACGGCGTCGCAATTTAAGCAGGGAAGCCTCCTCAACCTGGAGGCGCCCCATTCTTCGTGGTCCAGCCCAATGACGGCATCACGTGCCATCGGACCCTCGGCCACCTCAGATGTTACAACCTCGGCCGACGCTGCAAGGGGAGGGGGCGAGTGCTCGTTGGGCGGCTTACAGCTCCCGGAGCCCGAAAAACACGCGCACCCGCCACTCGTTGGTAATCACAACAGGGCGTCAGCGTTCGTGTGTCGGGAGCCTTTGCGATAGGTAACATTAAAGGAGTAGTCCTCGAGGACCTCCAACGTGAAAGTTGGCCAGACGGCTGTTCAACACGCAGCGCGTACTGTAGCGCTGCATGGTCTGAGCGCATCTCAAAGCGTCTACCATACAAATACCATACAAATAGTTCTTGGTGTGTGACACAATACCGTTGTTCGGCCGGAGACAGCACTCTGCTTCCGTATGCGACAACATTCTCGACGCCATTGACACCTTGAGACAGAACAGCTCCAATTCCGGTGTTACTAGTGTCTGTATCGAGGAAGAACAGCAAGGAAAAGTCGGGGTAGCAGAAGGGAGGGGTGTTCACCAAGCCAACCCGGAGCGCAACAAATGCGGCCTCCTCTCCCCCAATGGAATTTATGACTCTTTGCCATCAAGGCGTGGAGAGGTTTAGCGATTGTAGCGAACTTGGCGACAAAACGGCGGTAATAGGACGCGAATCCTATGAAATTGCGCACCTCCCCCACCGACTTGGGCGTTGGCCAAGTACGAACACACGTGGTTTTGTCTGGGTCAGTCGCAATTGCCGATTCACTTACTACGTGGCTAAGATACCGAACCGATTTCTTGAGAATGTGACACTTCTGTGGTTTAAATTTCAGGTTGGCC